CGGCGTCATTTACATGCAGCTTCGTGAAATGGTAGGTTCTCCTAAAAATGTTCTGTTTTGTTAGGATAATATGCAATACTTTAGATAGTGGACGAAATAGGATGAATTACAGATAAGATTAATTTTGACGATTATTTTGGTAGGCACAAATGGATACTGTTTTGAGTTGATTTTAAATTTTGCGCTTATCTATAATGCTCTTTTTTTCAGTTACGTGATGGACTCTTACCGTACAAAGGCAAAGCAAAAAAGGTATGAATGTTTTTTTGGTTTCAAAATAATGCAGGGAAATTGAAGCGCTGCCAAAAAATTAGAATTTTTTTTTTTTGAAAACTTTGAATGGTTTAAAGTTATATTTTAATGGTTTAAATAGATAGCGGGGTTTTTTTGCATTTACTAATACTTATAAATATGAAATAACTGTAATTCTTAGTATGTTTCTCCAATTCGGCAGCTAGAAAATTTCCCAGCTGCTTTGATCAATGCTGCATCGCCTAGTGGTGCCACATAATATTTCACATAATGATTTGTAGCTTTTTGTCACCCTACCCCATTAGAGTTTTGCATTCTTTGTAATCTGTGACCACAGAAGTATAAAAGCACTCCTCCCCATCTCCGGCATCCACAGTTGCTCCTTTATCACCCAACCCTGTTCGGGGGGGCTTTGGCTGCCCAGAACCTCGCCACCTCATTTTTCATTAGTGCCTCTATTTTCCTTCGCGTTGCATAACTGTAGTTTTCGTAAATAATTATAAATATACATATAACTAGGCGTTTCTACAATTACACACTCATACACACACACGCACACACACACACACGCCATACACATACACACATACCATACACATACACACACACACGCACACACAACATACATACACACGCACACACATACATACACACCCGCTCACAATAGTCCAAACAATTAACCTTTAAAGTCACGGTAGTGGTCATCAACTGACATTCGGTTTTACCCAGGCAAGCCGAATAAAAAAGGGAACATAGCAAAAGGGAGGGTATAAGTAGTTTTTCTGTGAGCTGTTGACCGGTTCAGGGTCTTTTCGGATTTTATTCGATAATGAAGAAAGTAATGGATTGCAGCCAGAAGCAAATGAAGATCATAATATGGAAATGCAATCGGAAGAGCTAACTGGCCCAAGTATTGTACCAAGTGTACCAGCACCACTTAAAGTATGCTTTTTGCGTTATTTTCTCAAATTCAATGGATCTTCTGATATCCTGAAAGAAATATGAGGGATCGTTTTTAGCTATATTCGCGCCCTCTTTGATAGCCTCGTTCTAAAACCGAACTTCGTATTTTCGTATAAAATTTAGTAATTTTATTACTTTTACTGATTTCTTAATATTATTTTCTCTTCTGTTCTTCTCCCTACTTCAAAATACTTTTCTATTCCGTGATGGAAAAATTAAGGCAATTGCTAAACTGATTTTGATTTTTGCGATTGATTCCAAACAACAGCTTAGAATTTAGGGGCTATTTTCACCCTGTGGATCGCGAATGAGTCCTATCCCCACATCCTCACATCTCTCCCTCTCCAGCCTCTCCTCTTTCCATCGCGATTTCCTTTTTATGCGTTGTTGCATATATGCAAATGCAAAAGCGCATAA